AATATATTTTCTCCAAAGGATTTACAGGAGTGCGCACATGCGGCTATTCTCTGTTGAGTGGTTAAAAAGAAACAGGTACTGCTATATTCTTAATTTAGAGTTATTTATGTAACTTTAGTTGTCATACAAATCTTGGGCTATATGTTTTGATTTTTTATCAATTCTAAGGCAGCATGATGCGACTCTAATGATGATTTGAAAATAGTTGCATAAAAGGCATGAGCTCTGCCTTGTTTGTGCGCAGGCTGTACACATTTCATCAGTCTCTCATTCACAATTTGACAAGCACTTGATAATGCCTCAAAATTCCCGGCTGTATCCCCTTTGTGTGGCCTTAATGCCCCCTAAATAAATCATTTTGCAGCAAGTGGCCTTTGTGCTCTTGAGCTGAATAAATAATATAATTCCCTTCTCTCGGCAGCACCTCTGTCAAGCCTACTAATACATTATTCTTGTTGTATATTCCCCAATTCTGTTGTCTCTGGAGCCTCGTCGCTGCAAATTACCAGACTCACGTTTTCGTCAGTTATTTTGATCGTGTGATCAGTCTAATAAATACTATGTTCACTTTCAACGCTGCGCCTTGGTCCTCCTCATTAGACGATTGTGACAGAAGAAACCACCATAACAGGACCAAGCAGCGTGAAGAAGAGAGAGGATGGACTTGGGAGCAGTGGAGTAGGAGTCTCGACTGGGCCAAGCCAAGAGAAGAGGAGAGAGGTTGGACTTTGGAGCAGTGGGGTGAGAGTCTGGCGAGAACGATGGAGGCCTGGCCCACGGGGAGGAGAGACCCCCAGAACATTTTTAGGGGGGGGCTCACGACGTCGGGGCAGCAGGAGGCCGCGATAGAGCGGTCCAGCGGGTTGGCAGAAGAGGCCGCCAGGTTACGGGAGTCACTGGTCACCAGGGGGAAGGAGGTTGTAGAGGCACGGCGAGAGGTACTGGCGTGTGTTGCCAGTCCGGTCCGGCCTGTTCCTGATCCCCACGTAGGGCCAGTGGTGTGTGTTCCCAGTACGGTCCGGCCTGTTCCTGCCACTCCCACCAAGTCTGTGGTGCGCGTCGCCAGCCCAGTCCGGCCCATCCAAGCTCCCCGCACCAAGTCTGTGGTGCGCGTCACCAGCCCAGTCCGGCCCATTCCTGCTCCCCGCACCAAGTCTGTGGTGCGTTTCGTCAGCCCTGTCCGGCCCGTTCCTGCTCTCCGCACCAAGTCTGTGGTGCGCGTCGCCAGCCCAGTCCGGCCCATTCCTGCTCCCCGCACCAAGTCTGTGGTGCGGTTCGTCAGCCCTGTCCGGCCCGTTCCTGCTCTCCGCACCAAGTCTGTGGTGCGCGTCGCCAGCCCAGTCCGGCCCATTCCTGCTCCCCGCACCAAGTCTGTGGTGCGGTTCGTCAGCCCTGTCCGGCCCGTTCCTGCTCTCCGCACCAAGTCTGTGGTGCGCGTCGCCAGCCCAGTCCGGCCCATTCCTGCTCCCCGCACCAAGTCTGTGGTGCGGTTCGTCAGCCCTGTCCGGCCCGTTCCTGCTCTCCGCACCAAGTCTGTGGTGCGCGTCGTCAGCCCGGTCCGGCTCATTCCTGCTCCCCACACCAAGTCAGTGGTGTGCTTCGTCAGCCCAGTCCGGCCTGTCCCTGCTCCACGCACCAAGCCTACGGTGTGCGTCGTCAGCCTGGTAAGGCACGTTCCTCCTCCACGCACCAAGCCAGGGGTGCGCGTCGTCAGTCCAGCACAACCCGTGCCTGGGTCATGTCCGGAGCCGGATCCGCCGCCGAGGCGGAGTGCCCACCCGGTCCCTCCCCTGTTGTGGTTGTTTGGCGCGGTCGGAGTCCGCGCCTTTGGGGGGGGGGTACTGTCACGCCCTGGCTCTGGGGACTATGTTATGTTGAGCCAGGGTGTGTGATTCTATGTTTGTATATCTATGTTGGCCTGAGTGACTCCCAATCAGAGGCAACGAGTGTCAGCTGGTTGTCTCTGATTGGGAGCCATATTTAACTGTCTGGCTGTTCACTTTGTGTTGTGGTTTCTTGTTCTCATTTTGGTTTGTTTATGTAACCAGAGACATCACGTTTTCGTCAGTTATTTTGATCGTGTGATCAGTCTAATAAATACTATGTTCACTTTCAACGCTGCGCCTTGGTCCTCCTCATTAGACGATCGTGACAACCTCTCACTCACATGGCTCTCAGTCACCTGATCGGGTCTTTCTCACAGGCTACAAGTGAAGACGGACACATCGGGGATGCAACTGCGTGCCTCCTTATCCAATTCCGAGGAGCATATTGAAGATATTGGAAGAACTGTTCACATTTACTTTTTGTCAGCCAACAAGATGAGTAGGCCTAATGAACAGCAAAAACACTAGCCTATGTCAATCTACTATCCCCATAGTACAAAAGTTGACCTATTCTATTCTGTGTGAGAAATAAATATTCCAAACATAGTCTGGGACAGTTGTGGGATGCGATAGATCCCAAATTAATACAAACACTAGAATCAAAAGACCTGTTTTAAGCAATGAGCCTGATGCAACAGATGAGAATGTTTAGCTTAAAATGTTGATAAACTATTAGGCTATTTCTTCACATTATATGCACAGCAATGCACACACAGAGTAGGCTATAAGTGTGAATGTTCCATTAGCAGGAAAACACAAATGTGACCACAAATGTGGTTATGCATGTAATGCTTTTATTATAAAGGTGCATTATTATGGTGAAAATTATCTTCCCCAAACTTGAAACTCACGCACTGTGTACGTATGCCAGTTAGGCTCTACACCCATTGTAAAGAATATTAATGTGCTTAATTAAAAAAGTTATTTGGCCACTTCAGTTGTGATACAAACCTTATCAAAACATATAGGCCTATGGGCTATGCTACATGAGGTGTGCGACTATAATTTGAAAAAGTCACACAAAAAAAAGGCATTCTTTCTTGCCTTAAGCTGGGCATCATTCACTAGTGATAATATATCATTCACAAGTGATAGGCTAATATTGTCACCCATCACACTATTCTTGATTTAATCTTGTCTTTACATATACTAAATAATATATGTGTGAAATGTATCTTGATTTAGAATGGACCATTATCATGCACCTGTCTCGAAACAGGGGCAGCTGAAAAAAATACATGTCATCTATGCACTTAAATAGTGAATGGAGGACGCTTTTCCTGTGGTTGTAAAGAGAAGCAATGTGCTTAATATTAGGAAAGTTGAGAAATACATATATTAGGTCTAGTCTATAGAAAGCTGATGGGATCCTCCTCTTTTTAATAGAGGCCATTACTCTGTTTTCTCACGCAATTGCATAGCCTATAGAAATGTTGCGCAACATGAGCACATGGGCTCTCATGTTTGATTAGATTTTTGATTACATTTACATTGATGTCAGAGTGATTGCGGGACAATAGAGTGCTGAGTACCAGGCAGTTAGCAAGTTTGGTAGGCTACTAATGACCATCAGCAGCATCAGAGCTTGGAGAAGCCTAATTACCGTGACTAAATGGTCACATTGAATTTGACTGCCGTCATGACTCGTGACTGCCGGAGTGGCAAGATCTCTGAAAAAGGTAAAATTATTATGAGTCTAGAACACAGAACATACACTGAGTGTATAAAACATTAAGAACACCTTCCTAATATTGAGTTGCTAACCCCCCCCCCCCATTGCTGGTCCATGTTGACTCTAATGCTTCCCACAGTTGTGTTGAGTTGGCTGGATGTCCTTTGGTAGTGGACCATTCTTGAAACACACAGGAAACTGTTGAGCGACACAAACTGGTGCGCCTGGCACCTACTACCTTACCCCGTTCAAAAGCACTTAAATATTTTGTCTTGCCCATTCACCCTCTGAATGGCACACATAGACAATCAATGTCTCAATTGTCTCAAGGCTTAAAAATATTTATTTAACTACACCGATTGAAGTGGATTTAACAAGTGACATCAATAAGGGATCATAGCTTTCACCTGGATTCACCTGGTCAGTATATGTCATGGAAAGAGCAGGTGTTCCTAGTGTTTTGAATAAACGGTATATTTCTCTCAAAACTGGAGGTAACAAATATAGCCAAGTTCAAACTAACATGCCTCCAGTGTTTGTAGTTGCACCCTTGTATCCTGCATCCCTCCTGCCAAAGATATCTCATGTAGTATGACTTAGGCATTCAGATAGTGAAACATTATTTTTTTCAGCTAGCTATTAGTTGATATTCAAATCTGAATCAAATATTTCAAAATATAGATTCACCTGGTCAGATATGTCATGGGACGAGCAGGTGCCATTAATGTTTTGTACACTCAGTGTATATGCCTTATCTCACAATCGATTGGGGTTCCCAAATGTAGTATGTTGCGAAAGAGACCCTGGTCTCAATGGTGAATCCCAGTTTAAATAAAGTTCCAAAAAAAATTCTAAATGTTTTCTGCGACAGAACGTTTATTTTCTTTCATAAATTTTCATTACTTCACAAAGTTCTATCCAGCGCTACAGTGATGTAGGTCTACCTCGCTCTCCCTGAATGACAGAGTTGCGCACTTTGACAGACAGTCTAACACTGAGTCAGACAGGTTTAGGTACTTTAACACATTTCCTAAATTTGACGTTGTTCCCCTTTAAAGCTGCTGTCATAAACACACGTCAACTGATAGTCGAAAACATTCACACATGCACATGCATGAACGAACCTTCCAGACATACACTGTACATACACAAATTATCTCTCTCTCTCACACACACACACACACACACAAACACTGACCTCTCCTCTCAGGGTGTGTGATGTTGGGCAGGGTGGAGTGGGTGGGGTTAATGGGATCAGCCCTAACCTTTGATTTCTGGGCTCTGGCCTCCCTTTGCTCCTGGTACCGCTCAGCATAACCCTTACACACTGCCTGGCATCTGGTTACACACACACACACACACACACACACACACACACACACAGAGAGACACCCATTAACACACACACACAATATTAACAAACACGCATATGCATGTTAACACTACCGCTTAGCGTAGCTCTTACACTCCACCTGACATCTGATACACAAACACACACATTCATGAATTAACACACACACACACACGAACACGTTAGCACATTTCGTATTGATTACTCACGTCTTCCTGCGAGGTAGAGGTGCTCCAGGGGCAGGGCCTCTGTGCTGTGGCCCAGTCTTGGTGCTCTCTGCTGGGTCTCGGCCGACTTGCTGTGGGGGTCCATCCTGGATGGGGGGCAGCACTACCTGAGGAGGGGAGAGGGGCAGGTGTGGTAGAGAGAGGACAGGTTAAGGGGTGTGCGTGTGTGTGTGTGTGTATGGGAGCATGTGTGCATGTTTGCTATAACATACAGTAAAGAGCATTGTTCTCACCTGCATTCTCATTGGTCGATGTGGCCCAGTCATTTCCTGGTAAGGTGTAGCTTTGTAAACATTCTCCTCTGATGTTATTCCATAGCCCTGCCCCTGCCAAGGGCCACATTGTTGGCCCTGGGATAACATAACAAGCGGTTGCAGGTCATATAAAACCTTTCAGATATACAGTACCAGTCAAAGGTTTGGACACACCTACTCATTTAAGGGTTTTTCTTTATTTTTACTATTTGCGCACTCTTGGCAATCTCTCAACCAGCTTCATGAGGTAGTCACCTGGAATGCATTTCAATTAACAGGTGTTTCTTGTTAAAAGTTCATTTGTGGGACTTCTTTCCTTCTTAATGCGTTTGAGCCAATCAGTTGTGTTGTGACAAGGTAAGGGGGGGGGGGGGGGTATACAGAAGATAGCCCTATTTGGTAAAAGACCAAGTCCATATTATGGCAAGAACAGCTCAAATAAGCAAAGAGAAATGACAGTCCATCATTACTTTAAGACATGAAGGTCAGTCAACACGGAACATTTCAAGAACTTTGAAAGTTTCTTCAAGGGCAGTCACAAAAACCATCAAGCGCTATGATGAAATTGGCTCTCATGAGGACCGCCACAGGAAAGGAAGGCCCAGAGTTACCTCTGCAGCAGAGGATAAGTTCATTAGAGTTACCAGCCTCAGAAATTGCAGTCCAAATAAATGCTTCACAGAGTTCAAGTAACAGACCCATCTCAACATCAACTGTTCAGAGGAGACTGCGTGAATCAGGCCTTCATGGTCGAATTGCTGCAAAGAAACCACTACGAAAGGACACCAATAATAAGAAGAGACTTGCTTGGGCCAAGAAACACGACCAATTAGACCGGTGGAAATCTGTCCTTTGGTCTGATGAGTCCAAATTTGAGATTTTTTGTTCCAACCGCTGCGTCTTTGTGAGATGCAGAGTAGGTGAACGGATGATCTTCGCATGTGTGGTTTCCACCGTGAACCATGGAGGAGGAGGTGTGATGGTGTGGGGGTGCTTTGCTGGTGACACTGTCAGTGATTTATTTAGAATTCAAGACCCAATTAACCAGCATGGCTACCACAGCATTCTGCAGCGATACACCATCCTATCTGGTTTGTGCTTAGTGGGACTATCATTTGTTTTTCAACAGGACAATGACCCAACACACCTCCAGGCTGTGTAAGGGCTATTTGACCAAGAAGGAGAGTGATGGAGTGCTGCATCAGATGACCTGGCCTCCACAATCACCCAACCTCAACCCAATTGAGAAGGTTTGGGATGAGTTGGACCGCAGAGTGAAGGAAAAGCAGCCAACAAGTGCTAGGCATATGTGGAAAGTCCTTCAAGACTGTTTGAAAAGCATTCCAGATGAAGCTGGTTGAGAGAATGCCAAGAGTGTGCAAAGCTATCATCAAGGCAAAGGGTGGCTACTTTGAAGAATCTCAAATATAAAATATATTTTGATTTGTTTAACACTTTTTTGGGTACTACATGATTCCATATGTGCTATTTCATAGTTCTGATGTCTTCACTATTATTCTACAATGTAGAAAATAGTAAAAAAAATAAAGAAAAACCCTTGAATGAGTAGGTGTGTCCAAACTTTTGACTGGTACTGTACGTACTAATCAGAGCTGTCCTATTGCTTTTATAGAGACCTCACTATACAATATTTACAAGGATTCAGCTCCCCACATTTTAAGCGAGCATGTAGTTTGGCGGTTTCTAAACTCACGTTGAGGCCGCTCTCAGAGGAGCAGCCACAGCAGTACAGGACAGGGTGCCAGGGGTAACCCATCGTTGGGTCCTACATTAAACAAACAATAGGTAAGGTGTCCTACCTACACACACAGGCCTTAGTTTATCCTTTACAGTATATCCTTGCTCTAGTCTAATGGTGTGAGATTTCTTGTGCTTATTGAGAGTTATAAAAGGCAAGTCAGGGTGTTTGTAAGCATGTCGTTGGTGTACATACAGTAAACTACGAAGGGCATTAGAGGAAGGCTAAAGTCGTGCTTCAAATGGCCCCGCCCGTTTTTGGGCGATTTCAGTCAGGTTGAAAATCGCCCAGAAGTCTCTCATAGCCTGTCATGTAAAATCTATTTTTTTCAAATTTCAAAGCTTTCAATACATTCTCTATGGGTGTCTGTGGGCTTGCACTTACGCGCTTTCGTCATACGTGACGTAACCATGAACGTAACTAAGCAAATAGCGGCTAGCAGCGTCTCTTTGCGACCTGCAGTGTGGCGTTATTTTATGTTTTTAATTTGTACACTTAGTGGCGTTATTTTATGTTTTTAATTTGTACACTTAGTTTACAAACATTCTGCCAACCATGGATTTCGAGTGGTGGGTTTTGGACTGATCTTGTTGATCGTGTACATACCCGCTACGAACGGACTAAATAATGAAAACGTTGCTGGCAGCGGAATCCAATACAGCTGGGAGACTTGGCTGGATGACAGAGTCCCGGACAGAGAAGTGGAGCCGGCCGGCTTCACCCTGGTCGGAGCGGACCTCGATCTGACAGTCACAGGGAAAATCGATCCTGGTAAGAGAGCGACTCTGTACCCCCGAGCCCCGACATTGAACTGCTTTCTGTGTCACTGTGACCTTACTATCTGCCCCGTGAGTTCCCCCAATTGTTTGTTACCGTTGTGTACTGTTGATAATCACAAGTTTACTGGAGAACTGAGACCAAGTAGAGACTTTGGACAGGGTGGATATGCACAAGATTTTAGTCAGACCAAGCTATAACATTATATATTTACTACGACAGTACATTCAACCAAAAGCTAATATAACAAAGGCATCAGAGATTATTTATAATCTGTCACAGAAACTGGAATCCATCTCCCCAGATCAGTCAATAAATGCTTCTGGTATTGACTTATATGCTGCCCCTGTCTTCATGTTGTTGCTGGACATATCTTTTTTAAAATGTGTGTAGGTCACCTAAATCATCAGAAAAATTGCCCCTCCTGAGAATTTTTTCAGGAGCCGCCACTGGTAGAGGGGAATAAAGTGTTGTACTCTACTCACAAGCATGTTGTTGTATCTGCAGGGATAGGGTACAGGGTGGTGGTAGGCCCCACCCCAGGCACCATGCATGGATAGACCAGAGTTACTACTGCTGTTAGTGTGGGGAGAGCTAGAGATCACCCTGCCGAAGAAGAAGAAGAAGAAGAAGAAGAAGAAGAAGAAGAAGAAGAAGAAGAAGAAGAAGAAGAAGAAGAAGAAGAAGAAGTCATAAACCGGACAACCATTGTTCTGAAGTGATGTTTGTGCTACATCTTTATGAAGGTACACTCTTATAAATAAGGTGCTACAGTATCTAGAACCTAAAAGGGTTCTTCGGCTGTTACCATAAGAGAACCCTTTCAATAATCATTTCGGTTCCAGGTAGAACCCTTTTGAGTTCCATGTAGAACCCTTAACACAGAGGGTTCTACATGGAACCAAAAAGTGTTATCCTATGGGGACAGCCGAAGAACCCTTTTGGAACCCTTTTTCTAAGAGTGAAAGTAGCCTACCTCTCCAGATCTTCTAGTTTTCTCAGCAGGCGGTTGGTCTCATTGAAAAGTTGTGCTCTATGCTGGTTAAAACTCTCCTGGCTGTCCAACAGAGCCAGCTTATCTCACCTAAAGAGGAACAAAACACACTCACCCCTAGCATGTCATTGTGTGTTCTAGACTCACTCTGGCTTGTCAATTTGTGTTTTGTGTTCTAGACTCACTGTATCTTGTCATTCTGTGTTCTAGATGGGTTCTAGACTCTGTTGCCATAGTAACCGGTTATAGACTAACTGTAGCTTGTGGCTCTATGTTCTAAACTCACTATAGCTTGTCGTTCTGTTCTAAATTCACTGTTGCTTGTCATTCTATTTTCTGTGTTCTAGACGCACTGTAGCTTGTCGTTCTACACTGAGTGTACAAAACATTAAGAACACCTGCTCTTTCCATGACAGAGTATTTACAGAGTAAAGTATTCAGACCCCTTTACTTTTTCCACATTTTGTTACGTTACAGCCTTATTCTAAAATGGATTAAATAATTAAAAATCCTCATCCATCTACACACAATACCCCATAATGCCAAAGTGAAAACAGGATTTTGGAAATTTAAAAAAAAAAAAACAACAAAAAAAACGGAAATACATTATTTACATAGGTATTCAGACCCTTTGCTATGAGATTCGAAATTGAGCTCAGGTGCATCCTGTTTAACTTGATCATCCTTGAGATGTTTCTACAACTTTTCTTATTTTTTTCTTTTTAGGGAGGGGGGGGGGGGGGGTGGGCGGTAGATCAGCTTTAATATTGCAGATAGATTGTAACTTCCATCAATGTAATTGTCTGCAACTTCCCCCATATGTTTTTTTTCTCGCAAATATATATACATATATACATACATACACATATACACATACATACATATACATACATATACAGTTGAAGTCGGAAGTTTACATACACTTAGCCAAATGCACTTAAACTCAGTTTTTCACAATTCCTGACATTTAATCCTAGTAAAAATTCCCTGTCTTAGGTCAGTTAGGATCACCACTTTATTTTAAAAATGTGAAATGTCAGAATAATAGTAGAGAGAATGATTTATTTCAGCTTTTATTTCTTTCATCACATTCCCAGTGGGTCAGAAGTTTACATACACTCAATTAGTATTTAATAGCATTGCCTTTAAATTGTTTAACTTGGGTAAAATGTTTCAGGTAGCCTTCCACAAGCTTCCCACAATAAGTTGGGTGAATTATGGCCCATTCCTCCTGACAGAGCTGGTGTAACTGAGTCAGGTTTGTAGGCCTCCTTGCTCGCACATGCCTTTTCAGTTCTGCCCACAAATGTTCTATAGGATTGAGGTCAGGGCTTTGTGATGGCCACTCCAATACCTTGACTTTGTTGTTCTTAAGCCATTTTGCCACAACTTTGGAAGTATGCTTGGGGTCATTGTCCATTTGGAAGACCCATTTGCGACCAAGCTTTAACTTCCTGACTGATGTCTTGAGATGTTGCTTCAATATATCCACATAATTTTCCTTCCTCATAATGCCATCTATTTTGTGAAGTGCACCAGTCCCTCCTGCAGCAAAGCACCCCAACAGCATGATGCTGCCACCCCAGTGCTTCACGTTTGGGATGGTGTTCTTCGGCTTGCAAGCCTTCCCCTATTTCCTCCAAACATAACGATGGTTATTATGGTCCAAACAGTTCTATTTTTGTTTCATCAGACCAGAGGACATTTCTCCAAAAGGCACGATATTTGTCCCCATGTGCAGTTGCAAACCATGATCTGGCTTTTTTATGGCGGTTTTGGAGCAGTGGCTTCTTCCTTGCTGAGCGGCCTTTCAGGTTATGTCGATATAGGATTCGTTTTACTGTGGATATAGATACTTTTGTACCTGTTTCCTCCAGCATCTTCACAAGGTCCTTTGCTGTTGTTCTGGGATTGATTTGCACTTTTCGCACCTAAATATGTTCATCTTTAGGAGACAGAACACATCTCCTTCCTGAGCGGTATGACGGCTGCGTGGTCCCATGGTGTTTATACTTGCGTACTATTGTTTGTACAGATGAATGTGGTACCTTCAGGCATTTGGAAATTGCTCCCAAGGATGAACCAGACTTGTGGAGGTCTAAAAAAAAAATCTGAGGTCTTGGCTGATTTCTTTTGATATTCCCATGATGTCAAGCAAAGAGGCACTGAGTTTGAAGGTAGGCCTTGAAATACATTCACAGGTACACCTCCAATTGACTCAAATTATGTCAATTAGCCTACCAGAAGCTTCTAAAGCCATGACATCATTTTCTGGAATTTTAGGCACAGTCAACTTAGTGTATGTAAACTTCTGACCCACTGGAATTGTGATACAGTGAATTATAAGTGAAATAATCTGTCTGTAAACAATTGTTGGAAAAACTACTTGTGTCATGCACAAAGTAGAAGTCCTAACCTACTTGCCAAAACTATAGTTTGTTAACAAGACATTTGTGGAGTGTTTGAAAAACGAGTTTTAATGACTCCAACCTAAGTGTATGTAAACTTCCGACTTCACGACTTCAACTGTATACACATATCCTGTTTCTACAACTTGATTGGAGTCCACCTGTGGTAAATTCAATTGATTGGACATGATTTGCAAAGGCACACACCTCTCTATATAAGGTCCCACAGTTGACAGTGCATGTCAGAGCAAAAACCAAGCCATGAGGTCAAAGGAATTGTCCGTAGAGCTCCGAGACAGGATTGTGTCGAGGGACAGATCTGGGGAAGGGTACCAAAAAATATCTCCAGCATTGAAGGTCCCCAAGAACACAGTGGCCTCCATCATTCTTAAATGGAAGAAGTTTGGAACCACCAAGACTATTCCTAGAGCTGGCCGCCCGGCCAACTGAGCAATCGGGGGAGAAGAGCCTTGGTCAGGGAGGTGACCAAGAACCCGATGGTCACTCTGACAGAACTCCAGAGTTCCTCTGTGGAGATGGGAGAATCTTCCTGAAGGACAACCATCTCTGCAGCACTCCACTAATCAGGCCTTTATGGTAGAGTGGCCAGGCGGAAGCCACTCCTCAGTAAAAGGCACATGACAGTCCGCTTGGAGTTTGCCAAAAGGCCACTCAGAGCATGAGAAACAAGATTCTCTGGTCTGATGAAACCAAGACTGAACTCTTTGGCCTGAATGCCAAGCATTACGTCTGTAATCGCTGCCAAAGGTGCTTCAACAAAGTACTGAGTAAAGGGTCTGAATACTTATGTAAATGTGATATTTCCGTTTTTTATTTGTAATTAATTTGCAAACATTTCTAAAACCTGTTTTTGCTTTGTCATTATGGGGTATTGTGTGTAGATTGATAAGAGAAAAACAATATTTAATCCATTTTAAAATAAGGCCGTAATGTAACAAAATGTGGAAAAAGTCAAGGGGTCTGAATACTTTCCGAATGCACTGACCAGGTGAATCCAGGTGAAAGCTATGATCCCTTATTGATGTCACTTGTTAAATCCAACTTCAATCAGTGCAGATGAAGGGGAGGAGACAGGTTAAAGAAGGATTTTTAAGCCTTGAGACAATTGAGACATGGATTGTATATGTGTGCCATTCAGAGGGTGAATGGGCAAGACAAAATATTTAAGTGCCCTTGAATGGGGTATGGTAGTACTGTAGGTGCCAGGCAGGCACACCGGTTTGTGTCAAGAACTGCAATACTGCTAGGTTTTTCACACTCAACAGTTTCCCGTGTGTATCAAGAATGGTCCATCACCCAAAGGACATCAAGCCAACTTGACACAACTGTGGGAAGCATTGGAGTCAACATGGGCCAACATCATCATTTTTTAGACTCACTATAGCATGTTGTTCTATGTTCTAGTCTCACTGTAGCTCGTCGTTCTATGTTCTGTGTTCTAGACTCACTGTAGCTTGTTGTTCTATGGTTTATGTTCTAGACTCACTGTAGCTTGTCATTCTGTTTTGAGTTATAGACTCACTGTAGCTTGTTGTTATATATTTTATGTTCTAGACTCACTGTAGCTTGTTGTTATATGTTTTATGTTCTAGACTCACTGTAGCTTGTTGTTTAATGTTCTGTGTTCTAGACTCACAGTAGCTTGTCATTCTATGTTCTGTGTTCTAGACTCACTGTAGCTTGTCGTTCTCTCTCATCAGCTCCTGCAGCAGGATCCTGAGGCTGGTCTCAGAGCAGGAGGAGCCTGTCCTGGCCCCGGCCACCTCCTTTGCATGCTGAGGAAAATAACTCATACTCCCAGGGTGATTTGTCTCCAGCCCAGACCCCCTTGCCCCAGCCTTGTGGGCTGAGGAGAGGTGTTGCTGTAGCAACAGGTTCTCCTGGCGCAGCCGGCAGATCTCTCTCTGGAGGCTGACCACCAACTTCTCACGCAGGTCCTGGTGTAGAAATATGATGAGTAGAATGGATATTCTAGAAATGTAATGGATTTTCTAGAATGGATATTCTAGAATGGGTTGAAGGGATATTCTAGAATGTATTGAAGGGCTATTCTAGAACAAGAATACATATAAAGGATATTCTAGAATGGGTAGAAAGGATGTTCTAGAACTAAAATGTTAAGTTACCCTCTTGGCCATTGGTCTGTTCTTGATCCTTTTGGCTCTGCTGGAGTATCGAAGTGTGTTCAGGGTCTCCTGGAGATTGCCCAAGGTGGGAGACACACATGCAATCTAGGACAACACACACACAATATTTGTTTTGGGACATGTAAAGCCCACAGACGTAAATATTTGTATAAAATGCACACACAAACTATAGATCTACTGTACCATGAGAGTGATGCCAGATCCTCCCAGCGATTCAGAGAGCAGCTTGGTGAGTTTACTGTCCCGGTAGGGAATATGGCCATTCCTCTTCTTAGGATCCACCAGAGACGAGATACACTTCCCTGTAGAACACACGCACACATATATTGATACAAACACACACACACATACACACACACACATTTATACATACATACATAAATAACATTAAACACAGACAACATTACACACACTATGCTCAAACACACATTGATACACATACACACAAACACACACACACAACATTAAAACTGGTACCCAGAGTAAGCAGGCTGCGGTTGATGTTGCCTGTCTCTTCCAATAGTTCCTCTATGGAGTCTCCCTCTCTCACCCTCTCACTGCCTGCCAGGTCTACTACGCACAGCTTCCCCTGAGTCAACATGCCCTGGGTGAGAGAAGGAGGGAGAGAGAGAGCGAGAAAGAGAGAGAGAAGTGAGGAGGGAGAGAGGGAGGAAGGAAGGGGTAACTCTCTCGCCCCCCAGCCTTGCTAGATCTACCATAGAGACAGAGGGAGCCTGTGTGTGTGTGTGTAACTGGTGTAAAATGGCTAGCTAGTTAGCGATGCGTGCTAGTAACGTTTCAATCGGTGACGTCACTCGCTCTGAGACCTTGAAATAGTTGTTTCCCTTGCTCTGCAAGGGCTGCAGCTTTTGTGGAGCGATAGGTAACAATGCTTCGTGGGAGGAAGTTGTTGATGTGTTCAGATGGTCTCTGGTTTGAGGCAAGGAGAGGGACAGAAGCGTGTGTGTACCTTGACGTAGACAGTTAGGATGGCGTGACTGCGGCTGGAATGTTCATTCTGGGAGTGAGAGGAGCTCTGTCTGTTCTGCATCCCTGAGGGAGAGAGAAGGGGGGTACAAATGAACTGTAACACTGAGAGAGAGAGATGGGGGGTTACAAATGAACTGTTACACTGAGGGAGAGAGATGGGGGGTAAAAATGAACTGTTACACAGAGGGAGAGAGATGGGGGGTACAAATTAACTGTTACACCGAGGGAGAGAGATGGGGGGTTACAAATGAACTGTTACACTGAGGGAGAGAGATGGGGGGTAAAAATGAACTGTTACACAGAGGGAGAGAGATGGGGGGTACAAATTAATTGTTACACCGAGGGAGAGAGATGGGGGGTTACAAATGAACTGTTACACCAAGGGAGAGAGATGGGGGGTTATAAAGGAACTGTTACACCAAGGGAGAGGGATGGGGATTACAAATGAACTGTTACACAGAGGGAGAGAGATGGGGATTACAAATGAACTGTTACACAGAGGGAGAGAGATGAGGGTTACAAATTAACTGTTACACAGAGGGAGAGAGATGAGGGTTACAAATGAACTGTTACACCAAGGGAGAGAGATGAGGGGTTATAAAGGAACTGTTACACAGAGGGAGAGACCTAGAGGGTACAAATGAACAGTTACACCGAGGGAGAGAGAAGGGGGTTACAAATGAACTGATACACAGAGGGAGGGAGATGGGGGTTACAAATGGACTGTTACACAGAGGGAAAGAGATGGGAGTTACAAATTAACTGTTACACCGAAGGAGAGAGATGGGGGTTACAAATGAACTGTTACACCGAGGGAGAGAGATCGGGGTTACAAGTGAACTGTTACACCGAGGGAGAGAGCTGGGGGTTTACAAATTAACGTTACACCGAGGAAGAGAGATGGGGGGTTACAAATGAACTGTTACACCAAGGGAGAGAGGTGGGGGTTACAAATGAACTGTTACACAGAGGGAGAGAGATGAGGGTTACAAATGAACTGTTACACCGAGGGAGAGAGATGGGGGTTACAAATGAACTGATACACCGAGGGAGAGAGAGATGGGGGTTACAAATGAACTGTTACACAGAGGGAGAGACCTAGAGGGTACAAATTAACTGTTACACCGAGGGAGAGAGATGGGGGGTAACAAATGAACTGTTACACCGAGGGAGAGTGATGGGGGTTACAAATGAACTGTTATACAGAGGGAGAGAGATGAGGGTTACAAATGAACTGTTACACCGAGGGAGAGAGATGGGGGTTACAAATGAACTGTTACACAGAGGGAAAGAGATGTGGGTTACAAATGAACTGTTACACCGAGGGAGAGAGATGGGGGTTACAATTTAACTGTTACACCGAGGGAGAGAGATGGGGGGGTTACAAATTAACTGTTACACCGAGGGAGAGAGATGGTAGTTTACTAAAGAACTGTTACACCGAGGGAGAGAGATGGGGGTTACAAAGGAATTGTTACACTGAGGGAGAGAAATGTGGGGTTACAAATTAACTGTTACACCGAGGGAGAGAGATGGGGGGTTACAAATGTACTGTTACACCGAGGGAGAGAGATGGGGATTACAAATGAACTGTTACACAGAGGGAAAGAGATTGGGGTTACAAATGAACTGTTACACCGAGGGAGAGATATGGGGGTTACAAATGAACTGTTACACTGAGGGAGAGAGATGGAGGGTACAAATGAACTGTTACACCGAGGGAAAGAGATGGGGGTTACAAATTAACTGTTACACCGAGGGAAGGAGATGGGGGTTACAAATTAACTGTTACACCGAGGAAGAGAGATGGGGGGTTACAAATGAACTGTTACACCGAGGGAGAGAAATGGGGGTTACAAATTAACTGTTACACCGAGGGAGAGAGATGGGGGGTTACTAATGAACTGTTACACCGAGGGAGAGACATGGGGGTTACAAATGAACTATTACACTGAGGGAGAGAGATGGAGGGTTACAAATGAACTGTTACACCGAGGGAGAGAGATGCAGGGTTGCAAATGAACTGTGACACAGAGGGAGAGAGATGGTGGGTACAAATGAACTGATACACCGAGGGAGAGAGATGGGGGGTAACAAATGTACTATTACAAAGAAGGAGGAGATGGGGGGTTACAAATGAACTGTTACACAGAGGGAGAGACGTGGGGGGTTACAAATGAACTGTTACACCGAGGGAGAGAGATGTGGGGTTACAAATGAACTGTTACGCCGAGGGACAGAGATGGGGGGTTACAAATTAACTGTTACATCGAGGGAGAGATGGGTGTTACAAATGAACTGTTTCACCAAGGGAGAGAGATGGGGGTTACAAATGAACTGCTACACCGAGGGAAAGAGATGGGGGTTACAAATGAACTGTTACACCGAGGGAGAGAGATGGGGGGTTACAAATGAACAGTTACACTGAGGGAGAGAGATGGGGGGGTTACAAATTAACTGTTACACCGAGGGAGAGAGATGGTAGTTTACTGATGAACTGTTACACCGAGGGAGAGATATGCGGGGTAACAAATGTACTATTACAAAGAAGGAGGAGATAGGGGGTTACAAATGAACTGTTACACCGAGGGAGAGAGATGGGGGGTACAAATTAACTGTGACACCGAGGGAGAGAGATGGGGGGTTACAAATGAACTGTTACACCAAGGGAGAGAGATGAGGGGTTATAAAGGAACTGTTACACAGAGGGAGAGACCTAGAGGGTACAAAATGAACTGTTACACCGAGGGAGAGAGATTGTGGGTACAAATGAACTGATACACCGAGGGAGAGAGATGGGGGGTTTTAAAGGAACTGTTACACCAAGGGAGAGGGATGGGGATTACAAATGAACTGTTACACAGAGGGAGAGAGATGGGGATTACAAATGAACTGTTACACAGAGGGAGAGAGATGAGGGTTACAAATGGACTGTTACACAGAGGGAAAGAGATAGGAGTTACAAATTAACTGTTACACCGAAGGAGAGAGATGGGGGTTACAAATGAACTGTTACACCGAGGGAGAGAGATGGGGGTTACAAGTGAACTGTTACACCGAGTGAGAGAGATGGGGGGTTACAAATTAACGTTACACCGAGGAAGAGAGATGGGGGGGTACAAATGAACTGTTACACCAAGGGAGAGAGGTGGGGGTTACAAATGAACTGTTACACAGAGGGAGAGAGATGAGGGTTACAAATGAACTGTTACACCGAGGGAGAGAGATGGGGGTTACAAATGAACTGATACGCCGAGGGAGAGAGATATGGGGGTTACAAATGAACTGTTACACAGAGGGAGAGACCTAGAGGGTACAAATTAACTGTTACACCAAGGGAGAGAGATGGGGGGTAACAAATGAACTGTTACACCGAGGGAGAGAGAGATGGGGGTTACAAATTAAATGTTACACAGAGGGAGAGAGATGGGCGGTTACAAATTAACTCTTACATACACCCGAGGGAGAGAGATTGAGGGGTTACCAAATTAACTGGTTACACCGAGGAAGAGAGATGGGGGGGGTTGGTTGTGACAAATATATGAACAGTTTACACCGAGTGAAGGGAGTGAGTTGAGGGGGTAGGTTTAAAATTAACTGTTTACACAGAGGGAGAGAGATGAGGGTTACAAAGAAAACTGTTTACACCGAGGGAGAGAGAATGGGGGGTTCAAAAATGAAACTGTTTACACAGAGGGAGAGAGATGAGGGGTTTACAAATGAACTGTTACCCGGAGGGAGAGAGGATGGGGGGGGTACAAATTAACTGTTTACAACCGATGGGAAAGAGATGGGGGTCAACAAATGAACTGTTTTACACCAAGGGTAAAGATGATGGGGGGTTACAAATGGAACTGTTACACCCGGGGGGAGAGCAACTGGGGGGGGGGGGGGAGGGGGGGGGGGTTTGTGGGGTTACAAAAATGAACTGGTTACACTAAGGGAGAGAGAGGGTTTAAAAAGAATGTTACCGAGGGAGAGGATGGGGGTTACAAGATGTCCACCGGAAGAGGAGGGGGTACAAGAACAGTACAGAGTGAGAGTGATGGGGTTAAAATTAACTGTAACAGAGGAGAGAGTGAGGGTAAATAAATGTTAACGAGGGAGAGAGGGGTACAAAACTGTTCACGAGGGAGAGAGATGGGGGTACAATAAGTTCACAGAGGGAAAGAGAGTGTTACAAGAATTACACGAGGGAGGAGAGGGGGTACAATTAACGTTACCAGGAGAGGATGGGTCAATGAACGTACACGAGGAGAAGATGGGGTAAAATGACTATTACAAGAGGGGAGATGGGGGTACAAATGAACTGTAACCGAGGGAGGAGATGGGGTTACAAATAACTGTTACACGAGGAGAATGGGGGTAAATGATGTACCAGGGAGAGGATGGGGGTATAAAGAACTGTGCCGAGGAGAGCTGAGGGTACAATGAATGTTCACGAGGAAGAGAGAATGGGGTACAGAGAACTGATACAAGAGGGAGAAAGATGGGGTACAGTGAACGTTACCGAGGGAGAGAGGGGGGTTACAAATGAACGTACACAAGGGAGAGAGATGGGGTTAAAAGAACGTACACCGGGGAGAGAGATGGGGACAATGAATGATACACCGAGGGAGAGAGAGAGGGGGTAAAATGAACTGTTAAAGAGGGATAGATGGGGTACAATTAACTGTTACACCGAGGGAGAGGATGGGGGGTAAAATAACTTTCACGAGGGAGAGATGGGGGTACAAATAAACTTTACACCAGGGAGAGAGATGGGGTTTAAAAAGTAAGAGGGAGGACTAGGGGTACAATGACTGTTACACAGAGGAGAGAGAGGGGTTACAATGAATGATACACGGGGAGAAAGGGTTTACAAATGGCGTAACAGAGGGAAAGAGAGGGATTTAAAATGAACTGTAACGAGGGAAGAGGGGGTACAAGAATGCTACACCGAGGGAGATATGGGTTAAAAGAACTTACACCGGAGGGAGAGTGGAAAATAACTTACACTGAGGGAGAGATGGGGGTTTCAAATGTTTACAGGGGAGAGGAGGGGGTAAATAACTGTTAACCGAGGGAGAGAGAGGGGGGTTACAAAGAACCGTTACACCAAGGGAGAAGATGGGGGTACAATGAACTATTACGAGGGAGAGAGGAAGGGGGGGGGGGGGGTACAATAAGTTACACCGAGGGAGAGATATGGGGGGTTAAAGAACTGTTACACCGAGGGAGAGAGAGGGTACAAAAACTGTACAACCGAGGAGAGAGATGGGGGGGGTAACAAATGACTGTTACACCGAGGAAGGAGTGAGATGGGGGTTACAAAAAAATGTTTCAAAAGGGGAGAAGATGGGGGGGTTACAAATTAACCTTTTTTTCCCCCCCCCGGGGGAGGGATGGGGGGTTAAATTAACTGTTAACCGGGGGAAGAGAGATGGGGGTTAATGAACGTTAAAACCGAGTGAAGTGTGGGGTTTTAAAAATGAACTGTTCCAGGGGAGAGAGATGGGGGTTTACAAATAACTTTACACCGAGGGAGAGATGGGGTTCAAATAAACTGTTCCAGGGGGAGGAGATGGGGTTAAAAATGAACTGTTACACCGGGGAAGAGATGGGGGGTAAAAATTAAAACTTTTACACCGAGGGAAAGATGGGGGGTAACAAAATAAACTTTTTCACCGGGGAAAGAGGGGGGTTACAAATAAACTGTTAAACCGAGGGAAGAAGGGGGGGGGGGGGGGGGGGGTTAAAAATAACGTACACTAAGGGGAGAGAGGGGGATTACAAGTAAAACTGTTTAAAAAACCCGAGGGGGGGAAATGGGGGTTAAAAATGAACTGTTACCCGGGGAGAGAGATGGGGGTTAAAAATGACTTTACACCGGGGGAGGAGATGGGGGAAAAAAATTTAAACTGTTACCCCCGGGGAGAGGAGGGGGGGTTAACAAATGAACTGTTACCCCGAGGGAAAGGAGGGGGGTTACAAAATAAACTTTTCCAACCAGGGAAGAGGGGGGGGGGGGGGTTACAATAAAACTTTTACACTAAGGGAGAGAGAGGGGGTTACAATGAACTTTACACCGGGGGGAGAGATGGGGGTACAATAAAACTTTTTACACCGAGGAAAAAGGATGGGGGTTACAAAAAAACAGTTACCCCGGGGAGTGATGGGGTTTACAATGAATGTTATACAGAGGAGAAGATAGGTTACAAATGAACTTTACCCCCGGGGAAAAGGGGGGGTTAAAAATAAATTTTTAAACCAGAGGGAAAGAGATGGGGGTTCAAATGAACTGTTACACCCCGGGGGAGAGGATGGGGTTACAATTTAACTTTACCCCGGGGGGAAAAGAGATTGGGGGTTACAAAGAACTGTTCAACCGAGGGAGGAGATGGGGTTAAAATTTTAACTGTTTACCCCAGGGAGAGGATGGTGGGTACAAATGAACGATAACCAGGGGAGAGAGGGGGGGTAACAAATGTACTATTACAAAAAGGGGGAGATGGGGGGTTAAAAATAACGTTACACCAGGGAGGGGAAAAGGGGGTTAAAAATTAATTTTTAAAAAACCGAGGATAAAATGGGGGGTTCAATAACTTTTAAAACCCAAGGGAGAGAGAGGGGGGTTTAAAAAGAACGTTGCACAAGGGAAAACCTTTAGGGTAAAAATAACTGTTACCCGGGGAGAGAGAAGGGGGTTACGATGAATTTAAAACCGAGGAAAAGACGGGGTTTCAAGGGACTTTTTTACACAGGGGGAAAAAGAATGGAGTTAAAATTACTGTTACAACCAAAGGGAAAGTGGGGGTTGTTTACTGAATTTCTATCTCTATTCAACCTAAGCTTGAATCATTACCAGGGTTGTAAGGCTTTTTTTTTAATATCAAGATTCAATCCAAAACCCACAAGTATTATCTTTTTTTTTATTCAGGGGGGCCCTTCCCCGCCAAAAAACACAACATAGGGTTTTTACCTCCTGAACTTGCTCCTCCCACCTTTAGGGGGCTTTCAAAACTTTTTCCCCTTTCCCCCTTTCACCCTTGAATTTTTTACCCCCCCCTCGTTAGAGGGTTGACACTACATGATTTCTAAAATTTATACTGTATTTGGGGGGAAATCCTTTATTTTATTTTTAAAAAACCAAATTAATCTAACAGGGGTTTCAAATGAACTGTTACACGAGGAAGAGAGATGGGGGGTTACAAAATTTAAATGTTCACTGAGGGGGAAGATGGGGGAGTTACAAATAAATGATACACCGGGGGGGAGATGGGGGGTTTTAAAAGATGTTAAAACCGGGGGAAATAGGGTTTTCAATAAATGTTCTCGAGGAAGAGATGGGGGTCAAATAACTGTTACACTGAGGGAGAAGATGTGGGGTTACAAAATTTAAATTTACACGAGTGAAGAATAGGGGTTTCAAAAGCTGTTACAAACCGGGGAGATGATGAGGGTTACAATAAATGTTACACAGAGGGAAGAGGGGGGTTTTTAATGAACTGTTCCACCGGGGACATTGATTGGTGTTTCAAAAAATTAACTGTTACACCAAGGGGGAAAATGGGGGTTACAAATGAACTGTTCCACCGAAGGGAGATGGAAGTTACAAAAACTTTCCCAAAAGGGGGAGAGTTTGGGGGGGTTTCAAATGAAATTTTACAACCAGGGGGAGTGGGAGTTTTTCAAATTAACGTTACACGAGGGGGAGGGGGGGGGGTTCAAAAGAAATGTTTTCCCAGGGGAGAGATGGGGGGTTTCAAATAAAAGTTTCACAAGGAGAGGATGGGGTTCAAAAAACCCCGTTACACCGAGGGAGAGAGATGGGGGTTACATATTAACTGTTACACTCAGGGAGAGAGATGGGGGTACAAATGGACTGTTACACTGAGGGAGAGAGATGGGGGGGTTACAAATGAACTGTTACACCGGGAGGGAGAGCGATGGGGGTTACAAATGAACTGTTACACAGAGGGAGAGAGATGGGGGTTACAAATGAACTGTTACACCGAGGGAGAGATGAGGGGTTACAAATTAACTGTTACACCGAGGGAGAGAGATGGGGGGTTACAAATAAACTGTTACACCGAGGGAGGGAGATGGGGGGTACAAATGAACTGTTACGCTAAGGGAGAGAGATGGGGGGTTACAAATGAACTGTTATACCGAGGGAGCGAGATGGGGGGTTACAAATTAACTGCTATACCGAGGGAGAGAGATGGAGGGTTATAAATTAACTTTTACACCGAGGGAGAGAGAAGGGGGTTACAAATGAACTGTTACACCGAGGGATAGAGATGGGGGGTACAAATGAGCTGTTATACCGAGGGTGAGAGATGGGGGGTACAAATGAACTGTTACACTTAGGGAGAGAGATGGGGGGTACAAATGAACTGTTACACTTAGGGAGAGAGATGGGGGGTACTAATTAACTGTTACACAGAGGGAGAGCGATGGAGGAAGAGAAAGAGACTAGTACAAGGCCGGCCCTAGCTTTTTGGGATCCTTAAGTGGAATTTTCCTGTAATTCTACACATTTTGCCATGGGCGTAGAGAAAGTTGTGCAGTTTTAAAGGAAGTTTGCTGCAATTCTACACATTTTGCCATGGGGCGTAGAGAAAATTGTGCAGATTTAAAGGAAGTTTCCTGCAATTCTACACATTTTGCCATAGTTTGGAGAGACATTTTGGCCATGTTAATATGATATCTGAGAGAGAGTGACTAACAAAATCAATGGGCCCCCCCTAAGCGGTCACTTATGTCGCTTTTGCCTCAGGCCGGCCCAGAGCACACACACCAGGACAAAAAGTCTTAGGGGCACAGGCAGAGACAGAAAAATTACATTTCATCCGTGGTGTATCAATGGAGAAAATATAATCAAATATATGTATCTCCCTCACCTCCCTCCAGTAGCCTCATGAAGCTGTCCAGGTCGTGGAACTCTACTACTGACAGGTTCTCTACGTAGAACCCTTGGGTTCTGCTGCCGCGAACTGCCAACGAGTATGGCAGACATGGGTTCAGCAGGTCATGCACCTAGATAGATACACACAAGTGGATTTTGAACACACAGTTACTATTGTGTGTGTGTGTAACTCGTGTATGTGTAACTCGTGTATGTGTGTTTGTGTGTGTGTCTACCATGCGTGCTATACATACCTGTTCGTTGTAGATCTCCAGGTATGAGGCACAGAGGTGAAAGCCCTCCTCTGATTGGCCAACCAGCTCAAGAAGGTATGACAGAGAACGCTGCATAAGACCTGCTAGCAAGGAATCATGAGAGCCCTCCAAGAACTGGAAGAGAGGAAGCCAGGAAGGGGTGAGAGGTCAAGGAGAGACGAAAGGAAATAGGGAAGGATGCATTTCTTAAGAAATGTAAAAGATCCTCTGAAGATAGGAGTCATGCTTCAGCCCAGAGTCTCTGTCCTTTTTTTTATGATCAACTGTTTATTATAATTGTATTTTTGTTGAAACAGAAGGTCTAATGTAGACAAGACTCTGTCTTTCACTTTACTAACTACTGGATGAGCAGGGGTTTTACCGACACTTGTTCAGAGCAGACCTAGCTAGTATGAGGAAGCTACCTCTTAGTACTGATGGGTTCTGACTTACAGTGGCTTGCAAAAGTATTCACCCTGCTTGGCATTATTCCTATTTTGTTGCCTTACAACCTGGAATTAAAATAGATTTTTGGGGGGTTTGTATCATTTGATTTACACAACATGCCTACCACTTTGAAGATGCAAAACATTTTTTTTTGTGAAACAAACAAGAAATCAGACAAAAAAACAGAAAACTTGAGCGTGCATAACTATTCACCCCCCCCCAAAGTCAATACTTTGTAGCAGCAATTACAGCTGTAAGTATCTTGGGGTATGCCCCGTGTAGCTCAGTTGGTAGAGCATGGCGCTTGCAACGCCAAGGTTGTGGGTTTGATTCCCACGGGGGGCCAGTATGAAAATGTATGCACTCACTAACTGTAAGTCGCTCTGGATAAGAGCGTCTGCCAAATGACTAAAATGTCAAATGTATGTCTCTATAAACTTGGCACATCTAGCCACTGGGAATTTTGCCCATTCTTCAAGGCAAAACTGCTCCAGCTCCTTCAAGTTGGATGGGTTCCGCTGGTGTACAGCAATCTTTAAGTCATACCACAGATTCTCAATTGGATTGAGGTCTGGGCTTTGACTAGACCATTCCAAGACATTTAAATGTTTCCCCTTAAACCACTCGAGTGTTGCTTTAGCAGTATGCTTAGGGTCATTGTCCTGCTGGAAGGTGAACCTACGTCCCGGTCTCAAATATCTGGAAGACTGAAACAGGTTTCCCTCCAGAATTTCCCTGTATTTAGTGCTATTCCATCATTTCTTAAATTCTGACCAGTTTCCCAGTCCCTGACGATGAAAAACATCCCCACAGCATGATGCTGCCACCACCATGCTTCACTGTGGGGATGGTGTTCTCGGTGTGATGAGAGGTGTTGGGTTTGCGCCAGACATAGCGTTTTCCTTGATGGCCAAAAAGCTCAATTTTAGTCTCATCTGACCAGAGTACCTTCTTCCATATGTTTGGGGAGTCTCCCACATGCCTTTTGGCGAACACCTGTTTGCTTATTTTTTTCTTTAAGCAATGGCTTTTTTCTGGCCACTCTTCCGTAAAGCCCAGCTCTGTGGAGTGTACGGCTTAAAGTGGTCCTATGGACAGATACTCCAATCTCCGCTGTGGAGCTTTGCAGCTCCTTCAGGGTTATCTTTGGTCTCTTTGTTGCCTCTCTGATTAATGCCCTCCTTGCCTGGTCCGTGAGTTTTGGTGGGCAGCCCTCTCTTGGCAGGTTTGTTGTGGTACCATATTCTTTCAATTTTTTAATAATGGATTTAATGGTGCTCCGTGGGATGTTCAAAGTTTCTGAAAGTTTTTTATAACCCAACCCTGATCTGTACTTCTCCACAACTTTGTCCCTGACCTGTTTGGAGAGCTTCCTGGTCTTCATGGTGCCGCTTGCTTGGTGGTGCCCCTTGCTTAGTGGTGTTGCAGACTCTGGGGCCTTTCAGAACAGGTGTATATATACTGAGATCATGTTACAGATCATGTGACACTTAGATTGCACACAGGTGGACTTTATTTAACTAATTATGTGACTTCTGAAGGTAATTGGTTGCACCAGATCTTATTTAGGGGCTTCATAGCAAAGGGGGTGAATACATATGCACGCACCACTTTTCCGTTATTTATTTTTTAGAGTTTTTTGAAACAGGTTATTTTTTTCATTTCACTTCACCAATTTGGACTATTTTGTGTATGTCCATTACATGTAATCCAAATAAACATTCATTTAAATTACAGGTTGCAATGCAACAAAATAGGAAAAACGCCAAGGGGGATGAATACTTTTGCAAGGCACTGTAAACTTGAATTATCCTTAATCCTGTCACTGAGGGAGAGAGGGGAATGCAGAACGTTTACATTCTGTCAGAACATGTTATTGTTAGACATCAGGTATCCTATGGAAAGGAGAAGGGCCACAGTCTGGTACAAGTCAACAGGACAGCCGTGTGGTGGGGAGGAGTGAGGAATTTGTCCAGAGGTCAGGTCAGATTAAGTGAGAAAGAACAGGCATCACTAAAGTCCTGTCTAGCAACAGAGATGTATTGGCTGTCCATATGTGTAAGGATGCGACTCAGCATAGGAGGAAGGTTTAAATACCAGTGCTTGTGTGAATATGTCTTTGTCTTATGCAGCTGTGTGACCCAGTGGGTGAATAAACATGGTTTGAGCTTTCCTAGCTGTCTGTGAGTTTTTACTCTGTTTATTTAGAATCTAACAGTACTGACCAGAGAGTGCGGCCCAGTGATGGTGTATGTTTTCCCTGAGCCTGTCTGTCCAAAAGCAAACACAGTACAGCAGAACCTGTCGTAGAGAACAATAGATGAACAGATGAAGATGATGTGGTCCCTAGTCATTCAACTGTTGTTTCTGTCTTGTGTAGCAGAATGAGATTTTGAACTAGCTGTCTAGTGAGTGACTCCACCCTCACTAAGACTAGAAGTAGTTTGCGTCACCCCCTGCAAAGTTGCACTACAAAATAATGTAGATTTGTATTTTATATATTCTTAGACCTTCTCTGAAGGCTTTGAAGGCCGTGACGGTATGCAACTGCTACCAACTCACAAGCTATGATGCGTGTTTGACTACAAAAAAAATTCCTGAACAACTGCACTACCCATGAGCCTCCTGACCGTCTCTCACCCCTGGACCACCATGTCTATGAGACGAGTCATGCCACACTCTTGAAACATGGCATGCTGGGAACTCTCAGGGCCCAGGACCACATCGAACGCAAACGCCCTCTCCTGCCCCGACGCACCCACCTAGAGAGAGGGTGGAGGGGGGGGGTGGGGGGGAGGATGTGTGATTGAGAGATGACAGTGAGTGAAAGGAGAGCCAAGGGAAAGAGGGTGTGAGAGAGAGAAGGATGAGCGAGAGAAGAGGGTGTGTGAGAGAGAAGAATGAGAGAGAGACGAGGGTATGATGTGTGTTTATGTGCGTTCCGGCCTCACCAGTAGACTGTGCTGGTCTGGACAGTACACGATGGTCACATCTCCCCTGTTATGCTCATCTTCAGTCAGAGGCCTTACCCTGTACACACACATGCACACACATGCCCACACCCACACACACAAACAGACACAGTATCTCACCATTCCTATAATTTTCATGTTAACTTCTCCAGTTTGCTGAAATCCTCTCAGTAGACACATATAATGATGAACAATAAGAAACCTGACAGCCACGACAACGTTGGACTCCACCTGCATCTCTGTCCTCTGCTTTGCTCTCTCTGGCATCTGGCTGGAGAAGGAGAGAAAGAGAAAAACATGATGCGTTACGTTATACTAAACATTTTCCCCATCCCTCCACCTCTTTGTCTAGCTTTAGCTGATGTTCTTACACAGAGAGAATTAGCAAACTTGTTGTGCTTTGGAAATTTGCAATTGTCAACTGCAGCGCAAATTCTGGAATGCTACATTTGAGGCCCCATTCTATTAGAATGGGCTGCATTGTGGTTAAATGACTGATCTGGAACATGTAATAATCATTTCCTAACTGTTTAATTTACAGCCAATGGAAGGAAGGAGTGGTCAGAACCAGACTAGACCTGTGCCAGTCCAGTACAAACCGGTTCTTACTGGTTGGTTTTGTGTTGGTGAGGTGGGTTAGCCCCAGGTTGGACACAGTCCTGACCTGCTTGTGTCCTCCTGCTGTCCCTCATATCCCTCTGAGACACAAAACCTCTTCTGTCTCTCTGTTCTCTACTTCCAAACATCTTATGTGACATCACAATCTCATGATAGAACACTAAACACAAAGGAAGGCTAGCACAGTAGAATTAGAATGCATTTAGAATTGTTATCTAGAATTGTGGAGTAGTGTTAACTTCACTAGACTCAATAATTTACAGAGCCATTTAAATCATTGCCTGCTCAGTGCTCTCTGATGTCTTTGCTCAGTTTGAGTCAGACTTTATGAGGAAATACAGCAACTCTTGAAGGGCAATGGAAGCTGATAAAAGTGCTTCTTTAAAAATAAGTGCTTCTCTACGGTTGTGGCTAGATGGAGTACAGTATTTTAGCAAAATCGAACCCTTTTCCTAACATTAACATCATTCTCATAACATGCTACGTTAATTCACCTAACCTGCTACTTTAATTATCCTAACCTGCTATGTTAACTCTCCTAAACTGCTACGTTAATTAGCCATCTAGCCACAACCGTAGCAGCCTTTAATTCTGAGAAACCATCACCATTGTCCCTTTATGGTGTTTGTGAGCGCATGGGCAGCGCCATTGAGCCAATCTCCATTTTGAAGTCGTCAATTTTCTTCTTCTAATAATTCTATGAGTTGGCAAACTGCCACCTAGAGTGTGTTGTTTGAACAGGTATAAAGCCAAGAATGGCAATTTACCGCCACCTACAGTTCTGGAATGTTTGCTCACAAGTATAATTTATTGGCTGATCCCTCCTGATGACCATGGACTCGTGATCCTTCCTTAACCGATAGAAAGCCCAACCCAGTTAACTACTTTAAAATGTCAATTGAGGGCTTGTTTATCCATTTAGAGTCCTCTATCTAACTCTATGGATATTGGTAAATGAGTTAGACAAAGGTCGCGTTCCACTGCTTAGACGTTGCATGCATCAACCAATGGTTGCATGCCACGTTATCAACTGTGTCATGGACAGACAGATTGCTATAACATATGTGGTTAGCTGATATCCAGGCATTATAAGATCTTGCAACGTCTAAGCAGTGGAAAGCGACCATAGACTGAACAATTAGGTTTTGTTTTGTAGCCTAATCCCATTGTGATTGGTCCCTGGACCCATATGACGTAATTTTGAACTTTATTTTGCTAAATGGGATGGAAAAGTCTAAGTGGGTTCCTTAGGACGTCCAACTCTGACATCAACTCATTGAAGTTAAAATGTAAAACGGTGGATTCTAAGTGGGATCCTTGGGACGACCCTTACCTAAACCCTAAACCTTACCCTAACCCTAACCCCAACCATAACCCTTACCAAAACCTTAACCCTTACTTATTGCACACGTGCACTTCACAGAGTAGTATTCTAGCAAATACATGCTAGAACCTGCCAATAGGATCTCGTTAGCTCGTGTTAGGCTCTGCCCACTTCCTTGTTTGTGCTTCCTTGTCCACGTTCTGATTGTGCCCACATTTTTAGACAGGTGTAGACAATCAAAAGACACAGTGTGATCTGATTGCGATCAGATCATCCTGCCCACCTCATCCAGGTAGTCAGACATGCGGTTTCGCAGACACAGATTAAGCCTAATCCTAGACTAAATTGCACTTTAAAACTGGACTAGCTGAAATGGCTTTTCTCAGACATGGTTTAAAATAGTCTCAGATTTGCCCTAGTCTAGCCTGATTTCCAGAATGATGATTAGAGTTAATCTAAATCTAAGTGAAGGTTTAAATTAAACCTGGCCAGAGGCAGGTTTAACTTCAGATTAATGGATGTTGGCCCTCAGGTTGACTTTGGCAGTGGATTTAAATGGATCACCTGGACTATTTCAATGATGATCAAAGAGCACCACCAAGGCCAGGCAGAAGGGGGTTTATAGACAGGAGCAACGCACTGAATGATTTTGATTAAATAAATTACCGTGACCGTTTCTGTATGTAGAAAAAAAAAAATGCATCTGACATAATTTGTTTGCTTGAGCCAAGGCTTTCATCTGACTCTTTTAGGGGAAAGCCGATCCCTCCTTCCCTACAAGTATTGACTACCATCATGAAACAGGAGATTTGTGTGGTGTAAGTGAACCGACTGTATGCAGAATAGTCCAAAGTCTGCATTGCTATGTGAACTGAAAGACAATTACTTGTTGCTGCTGCCCAAGCCAACTACAAGGTAGAGTTCTGTGAATATGGTAACTTCCCTGGAGTCATTGGCTGTATAGATGGATGCAGTGGTGTAAAGTACTTAAGTAAAAATACTTGAAAGTACTACTTAAGTAGTTTTGGGGGTATCTGTACTTTACTATTTATATTTTTGACAACTTTTACTTTTACTTCACTACATTCCTAAAGACAATTTTTTACTCCATACATTTTCCCTGACAACCAAAAGTACTCGTTACATTTTGAATGCTTAGCAGGACAGGAAAATGTTTGAATTCACACAGTTATCAAGAGAACATCCCGGTCATCCCCACTGCCTCTGATCTGGAGGACTCACTAAACACATGCTTAGTTTGTAAATGATGTCTGAGTGTTGGAGTGTGCCAATGGCTATCCGTAAATTAAACAAAACAAGAAAATTGTGCCGTCTGGTTTGCTTAATATAAGGAATTTGAAATGATTTATACTTTTAATGTTTTTCCACAGGACCTTATAAAGACACGACAGTATAGAAATTATAATAGTATTTATGTATGATATTGTTTGTGTTACATTTGTCACACAAATACATTTAAGCGCCACTGTGTTGTGTTACACAAGAAAACTAACATTTCAAAGTGACTCTGATTTGTAAAAGCGGGCCCACAATAAATACAGTATCTTACCTGAAGTTGTTGTAGCATCCTTTCATTTACTTTTTAATTTGAGTTGAATTCATTACAAATGGAAATACAGGCATTATTTTTCTTGTTTTCTGTTGATGAATCACGCTGTTTATTCTCGATAATTGGGTGGTTTGACACAATTCGCTTCAAGAGGGTTTTTTCAAAGTCACTGAAAATGTTTTCTTTTACCTCCATCCATTGTTTGGTTTAGGTGACTTGCTCCAATTCCACACAATGCTTATGTATTAGTGTCCCATCCCTGTTTCTTAAGCATCCTCAGGTCAGCACCAAGTGCATATCATGAATCTAATTAGGTTTCACAAGATTAACTGGTTAGTCCTTACTTACCCTAGTCTAGAACTAATTAATCAGAAGTTAAGCCACGTCTCAAAAAGCAATTTTTTAAATCTGGATTAATTTAGTAAAATTTGCCTAGTGCTGACTTAAATCAAACTCTGTCGCCCCTTTACATTTACAATTACGTCATTTAGCAGACGCTCTTATCCAGAGCGACTTACAAATTGGTGCGGGGGGGGGGGGGGGGGGGGGGGGGGGGGGGTAGAAAGATTACTTTTATACTATTCCAGGTATTCCTTAAAGAGGTAGGGTTTCAAGTGTCTCCGGAAGGTGGTCAGTGACTCCGCTGTCCTGGCGTCGTGGGGGAGCTTGTTCCTCCATTGGGGTGCCAGAGCAGCGAATAGCTTTGACTGGGCTGAGCGGGAACTGCGCTTCCGTAGAGGTAGGGGGGCTAGCAGGCCAGAGGTGGATGAACATAGTGCCCTCGTTTGGGTGTAAGGTCTGATCAGAGCCTGAAGGTAAGGAGGTGCCGTTCCCCTCACAGCTCCGTAGGCAAGCACCATGGTTTTGTAGTAGATGCGAGCTTCAACTGGGAGCCAGTGGAGTGTGCGGAGGAGCGGGGTGACGTGAGAGAACTTGGGAAGGTTGAACACCAGACAGGCTGCAGCATTCTGGATAAGTTGTAGGGGTTTAATGGCACAGGCAGGGAGCCCAGCCAACAGCGAGTTGCAGTAATCCAGACGGGAGATGACAAGTGCCTGGATTAGGACCTGTACCGCTTTCTGTGTAAGGTAGGGTCGTACTCTGCGAATGTTGTAGAGCATGAACCTGCAGGATCGGGTCACCGCTTTGATGTTAGCGGAGAACGACAGGGTGTTGTCCAGGGTCACGCCAAGGTTCTTTGCACTCTGGGAGGAGGACACAATGGAGTTGTCAACCGCGAGATCATGGAGCGGGCAGTCCTTCCCCGGGAGGAAGAGCAGCTCCGTCTTGCCGAGGTTCAGCTTGAGGTGGTGATCCGACATCCACACTGATATGTCTGCCAGACATGCAGAGATGTGATTCGCCACCTGGTTATCAGAAAGGGGAAAGGAGAAAATTAATTGTGTGTCGTCTGCGTAGCAATGATAGGAGAGACCATGTGAGGAAATTACAGAGCCAAGTGACTTGGTGTATAGAGAATAGGAGAGGGCCTAGAACTGAGCCCTGGGGGACACCAGTGGTGAGAGCACGTGGTGCGGAGACAGATTCTCGCCACGCCACCTGGTAAGAGCGACCTGTCAGGTAGGACGCAATCCAAGAGTGAGCAGCGCTGGAGATGCCCAACTCGGAGAGGGTGGAGAGGAGGATCTGATGGTTCACAGTATCAAAGGCAGCAGATAGGTCTAGAAGGATAAGAGCAGAGGAGAGAGAGTTAGCTTTAGCAGTGCGGAGAGCCTCCGTGACACAGAGAAGAGCAGTCTCAGTTGAATGACCAGTCTTTAAACCTGACTGGTTTGGATCAAGAAGATCATTCTGAGAGAGATAGCAGGAGAGTTGGCTAGAGACGGCACGCTCAAGAGTTTTGGAGAGAAAAGAAAGAAGGGATACTGGTCTGTAGTTGTTGACATCGGCGGGATCGAGTGTAGGTTTTTTGAGGAGGGGTGCAACTCTCGCTCTCTTGAAGACGGAAGGGGCATGGCCAGCGGTCAAGGATGAGTTGATGAGCGAGGTGAGGTAAGGGAGAAGGTCTCCGGAAATGGTCTGGAGAAGAGAGGAGGGGATAGGGTCAAGCGGTCGGGTTGTTGGGCGGCCGGCCGTCACAAGTCGCAAGTGTAGACAGTTCTGGACAGAGAAACCATTTCAATAATCATTATTCCACCTTCCAGCACCATTGGCACTAC